TGTGTGAGTAAATGAAATAAAATTTTTTAGATCATTTATAAATGATCCATCGTAATTCGGCTTTCGGGATATCCCTTGAATTTGTGCTAGGTTCCTGAACGATGAATCAGATTTCAAGATCAGGTGTAATGTAACACAGAACGTCCGTCTTGTCAAAAAATCAGATTTCCCGAAAATCCGCATAAGAAATTACTTTAGTACTCTAACGAAAAAATTTCTTGAGCGATTTTACTATACTTTACCAATGCATAACCTTAATACCTACGCTGACCCTAACCTATGTAAACTTTAAAGGATTTGCCTCGCACACGTTCAAGAATTGCTGTTTTTGAGGGTAGGTGAGATAATGATACGATAATCATATAACTAAATTTATAATTCTGTGCCTGTCGTTGTATAAAAAAAAAACTTTGTTCTAATTTACTTATGCGGTTGTTGTGATATCAATAAATCTATTTTAGATGCTAGAAATAACTGGATACTCTAAATACGATCTAACCTTTTTTTTTTCTATGCTGCATTATTTATGATCACCACTGCAATTCACATATTTGTCATTAACGAGAGCATCGTTCTTTGCGACATCTTTTTGAGAAGTGAAACGTGTGCTTATGTGCTCGCGATATTCATATCAAACAACAACAAATCTATGACCAGAATACATCCTAATTGGAGTTTTTAATTGCACTACATAGCAAAAAAATTCTCAGTATTTACTTCTATTTTGTGATATAAAAAGGTACGTACGTACATATCTGATATCGATATGTGATAACTAATTAAGATTAAAGTTAATTAATATTGATGATACAGTGACCACGGAATATTTCATGAGACACTTATACGTAAAAACAAGTTTTCATGTGTAGCAGAGCATATATAAAAAATAGGAACATTAGTTCCAATAATTAATATTTGTGAAAGCTAATGTAAACCAAATAATGAATGTAGTGAGTGCAACATATGCCACCATTCATATTGCAATATACTGCGGATGTATTTTTACACTGTGTGATTATAAGGTTCTTCACATCATTTGTACGTACCGTTTTTGGACGCATGCTGTCTCTATATACAATGTGTTAGATTGTTTGTAACTACTAGCTATGAGGAGGCGTCTTTGTTTACAAATAAATATAATAATATCCAAACATTGTTTACCAAACTTTTTTTCTTTGTGTTTATCCAATTTAAGTTTTATATAAATTGTTACCTTTTTCATGTTCAGATTATCATCTTTCCTCGTTCCTCTCAAAGCTTTAGCCAAGCTTGTGTTTCTCCCTTACCATTTTCCCTCATCTTATATCAATTTTATCCGAATTGCACCAAAGATTACTCACCTGGACGTTCGGTGAATTCATCTTTGCGTTGATCTAGTATTGTAATCCCTGAATAGAAAGATTTGTAAACAATGATTTCTCCTGAAAATATATATCCAAAAATAAACGAAAAAAATGAGGAAATAACTTGCGGTGATGATTCTAAAAAACATGAATCATTATTCAATATGCAAAACGAACAATTTCCTTATTTACCACTAGATGTGTTAGAATTAGATTGCAATCTGGGATACGTGATAAATGCTATCAACGTGAATAACAAGGATAAGGTAAGTAAGTATTAATGAACTTTTTATGACGTTAGAAAAAATGGAGTGTTTTTCTAAAAGAAAAAAAAAACAATTATTCTTAATTTTTTATAGGTGTTCATGTACTTAATAGAACAAACGAATACTATACAAGTAAATAAAACCCGTTCGCTAATTTATTTTATGGATAAAATGAAACATGTTCCATATATTCAACAACTTATTGATGTAATCGAAGATGAAAACTACTTGGCTATTGTTTGGGAGGATCCTGGTCAGCCAATGTTTGAATTGCTCCAGCATACTGAGCATAATTTGAACCTTCGGGAAATCTTTTGTCAGATTTGTTTAGCTCTTGCAAATCTTCATGATAATAATCTAGCTCACATGTCCTTAAATTGTGATACCCTTTGGATCAAAAATAACAATGTGAAACTTGTAGATTTCGCATCATTAGGTCATTTTACCACCGCAAATATTGTTCACATTGTGCAAACATTGAATTCTAGTGCATATGATATATTTACTTCTCCTGAAATTATTGAACGACAACCTTGCTGGGGTTGGAGACCCGATGTTTGGGCTCTGGGTGTTGTTTTTTATTACACGATAGTAGGTCAATTTCCTTGCGATGGTGATTATGTAAAGTTTCATCAAGATATCAAAAATGGCACATTTTTGTTTCCTGAGGATATGGATCCAGGTATATATATATATTTTTTTTTTCTTATTGCTTAATTTATTAACATTTTATCACATTTGTTTTAATTCATAATTATTCTTGATATCGATATAGACGCTTGTGATTTGTTATCACGTATGTGGGATCCAGATCCAACTAAGAAATTCGATATGTGGGATGTTAGAAAACACCCGTTTTTGGTCCCTCTATCGACACCATTAATGAAAGAACAACAACAACAACAACAACAACAGCAATATGAACAAACAAAACATAAACGTTCAATATTAAAAAAATTCCGTAAATCTCGTAAAGATCGACACGTTAAAAAGTCGGATGTAAATAGTTTATATGATGATAAAGACTCGGCAAAAACTTTTATAAAAAATAAATTTAAATTTACGTCTAAATTTCGATGTGTCATGAGGAAACTTGCAGCCATCTGTAAGCCGAATCAACACCCCCTCAAAAGGTTGTAAAATAATTATCGTTCTCAACATGGCCTTGACGAACTATATCACCTTTTTTCGTTGTTAGAATATCAGTTTCTTTCGTATCTCATTAATTAGATCAACAAGGCAAAATCAACTCATTTTCTGGCAAAGTCTACACAAAACTTTCAATAAATTATCATGCATTTGAGATGTATATGATAATTATTTAAATTTAATGTAATTATTTACTTTGTGTTAAAAATTATGATTCGTACAATAAATACAGTAAAATTTGCTGTTGATGTTGTTTAAAAAATGAATCTTATAATGTTATAAATCGATAATTTTTTTTTGAATCTAATACAATCGACCCCTCTAACCGAACAGGCTATTCCAAAAGATTTTGTTCAATATAAAGTAAATCTGGTATACTCATTTACTCTTATACTGAACGTTCGGTATATAAAATTGGCCAATTATATGAATTTCACGTGATTATAATTTTACCGCGTTAGATCACTATTACCAAGTCGAATTCGTGTTAAAGCACAAGATTCAAGAAGTAATCCGTGTGATTTCTAATTCAAGTATTTTCTAATCGAAGTCGATTATTACTGACACTAAGTCAGATTAATATTTTTACAAAGCGTCTAAGCATCTATATTAGGATTTTTTATCACGGCAGTATTTTTACAAAGTTGATTTTATTAATGCATTCTGATTACAAGTCGAATATCATTATTTGAAAAATGGTAAGTTGTTACCAAATACTTCTACAACACATTTTTTTTAGATACTCGTTATTTAAATAAAAGGCAAACAATTTTTTTTTTTGAATTTTTTAAAAAAAAAATTCTAGGTAATCTAAAAAATTTTAAATGTTCTTATTAGAATTGTCATGTGCAAAACGTGACCTCAAGACCGTGACTAATTAATGCGAAACGATGCACGTTTGACCTACGGATCGTTTCACAAGAGATCGTTGTACTGCAATGCCCCGGGACCTCATAGACAGAAATTCGTCTGATTGGCTGGCGTAAATCAATTACCCGGGTAACTAATTTATATGGTTTAAAGTACTTTTTAAGAACTCAACATTGCACAAATAAAAAATTGCGTCAAACGTTAGTTCTAGCTTTCAAAGAG